TCAGATAAAGTGCTAGTATCCAAAATCTATAAAGAACTTATCAAACTCAACACCCAAATAACAAATAATCCAATCAAGAAATGGGCAGAAGACATGAACAGACATTTTTCCAAAGAAGACATCCAAATGGCCAACAGACACATGAAAAAGTGCTCAACATCGCTCGGCATCAGGGAAATCCAAATCAAAACCTCAATGAGATACCACCTCACACCAGTCAGAATGGCTAAAATGAACAAGTCAGGAAACGACAGATGTTGGCAGGGATGCGGAGAAAGGGGAACCCTCCTACACTGTTGGTGGGAAAGCAAGCTGGTGCAACCACTCTGGAAAACAGTATGGAGGTTCCTCAAACAGTTGAAAATAGAGCTACCCTACGACCCAGCAATTGCACTACTGGGTATTTACCACAAAGATACAAATGTAGGGATCCAAAGGGGTATGTGCACCCCAATGTTTATAGCAGCAATGTCCACAATAGCCAAACTGTGGAAAGAGCCAAGATGTCCATTGACAGATGAATGGATAAAGAAAATGTCATACACACACACACACACACACACACACACACACACACACACACACACAATGGAATATTATGCAGCCATAAAAAGGAATGAGATCTTGCCATTTGCAATGACGTGGATGGAACTGGAGGGTGTTATGCTGAGTGAAATAAGTCAATCAGAGAAAGACATGTATCATATGACCTCACTGATATGAGGAATTCTTAATCTCAGGAAACAAACTGAGGTTGCTGGAGTGCTGGGGGGTGGGAGGGATGGGGTGGCTGGGTGATAGACGTTGGGGAGGGTATGTGCTATGGTGAGAGCTGTGAATTGTTCAAGACTGTTGAATCAGATCTGTACTTCTGAAACAAATAATGCAATATATGTTAAGAAAAAAAAGAAGATAGCAGGAGGGGAAGAATGAAGGGGAGTAAGTCGAAGGGGGAGACGAACCATGAGAGATGATGGACTCTGAAAAACAAACTGAGGGTTCTAGAGGGGAAGGGGGTTGGGAGAAGGGTTAGCCTGGTGATGGGTATTAAGGAGGGCACATTCTGCGTGGAGCACTGGGTGTTATGCACAAACAATGAATCATGGAACACTACATCAAAAACTGATGTGATATATGGTGATTAACATAACAATAAAAAATGAAAAAATAAAAAAATAAAAGTTCAGTCTTTAAAAAGCAAAAAAAGAATGTTAATGCATAATGGGAAATTAAGGTAGGCTTAATTAATTAAATTAATTAAATTCCTTAATTAAATTAAGGAACTACTGATCTGTTTTTTATTTGCAATTACTATTATAAAATTTTCCATTGGTGTTTATTTTTTATTTCTATATAATATCACAAAGCATGCTTTAGAAAGTTTATTTATTTGAATAGAATTCTTATTGAAATATCAAAGTTACTGCTTCATTTTGAAATCATTGATTTATCAGTCACAGTAAACATAAAATTAGAATTATATTACTGTGTAAATATTTTGATGAGTCATTTGAAAATATTTCAATTTTAATAAACTTAATTGAATTTTATAATTGAGAGGTCAACATTTATATTGGAGTTTCAAGTATCTACTTAGTGAGTTAGAGATTTTCATTGTTCCTTGAGAGTCAACTGAACAGAAAAGCAAAAAATTACATAGTTTTTTATATGGTAACTTGTGAACACTAAATCAAAAATTTTAACTTCTTAGATATTCTAGCAAACATTTGTAGCAAAATGTTTATATTTCAGGTTTCTATAACTTGAAAAGTTCACATTTTTGTGTAGCTGTTAATGTAAAACATGCCATAAATAAAGACACTGAAACATCACATTAGGATAGAGTCAAACTCTAGGCCAAATCTGTAAATCAGCCAAATTCAGAGTAAGTGCTAGACTTGACTATATGCCTTTTGAGAATTAAATTCTGAAAGAAAATTTAGCCCAGGCTGGTAACCATGCCACTGTGATTTGTTACTATTAGAGTTCTTATTTTGTTTCTGCATTTACATTCTGTGTCCTATTGTCATAGAAACTTCAATACTGCTATTTAATTTTCTACTGATTTTCTGCCACAATTGTTTTTACTCCCCAAATATATAATGTATAGGTGCAAACATACATTAAATAAATTCAGTAGTGCCTCCAATAGTGGCAATAACTGCCTTAGCAGTTGTTTTCTCATTCTTGATTCCTAGGTTATTTCATCAACTTTTGAAGTATCAATTATCATCTCATTTTGAATAATCCCAAAATACATGGCTATATTTCTTTTGACTCAACAGCTATAAAGAGTCCAGAGATTCTGCACTCAGTTGATTTCAAAATTTAATTCATTATATTTCTGAACAGGAGCTCCTGGGTGGCTCACTTGATTGAGTGTCAGACCCTTGGTTTCAGCTCAGGTCATGATCTCAGTGTTGTGGGATCAAGCTCCATGTAGGACTCCATGCTCAGTGGGGAGTCTGCTTGATAGTCTCTCCCTCTACCCCGTCCCCCTCACTCTTGCATGCACATGTGTGCTCTCTCTCAGATACATAAATAAATCTTATTTATGTTAGAAAGAGTGAGCAAGAGGGAGAGAATCTCAAACAGACTCCCCACTGAGCGTGGAGCCCTACTTGGGGCTTGATCTCAAAACCCTGAGATCATGACCCAAACCTAAACCAAGAGTTTTGATGCTCAACTGACTGAGCCACCCAGGCACCGCCCCCACCAAATATTTCTGAACAAACTTGCTAATCTTTTGCTTTCTTCCTCATTTAGTGGCATGTCTCCATTCTTTTTCTTAAGCTAGATATTCCAGAAGCATCTTCATTCTTTTCCTTCCTTCTTATCCTGAATGCTATTATTCTAAGTCTTAACTTTCTGTCATGAGGTTTTATAAAAATTCTGAAACTGTTACCTTACCTCTTACCTTTTCATTCTCCAGTGCTTTGCCAGGAGTATTATTAAAATTATCTGTCTTCTCAAAACTTTTATGCAGTTATCTTAATTTTTAGTCTTGGAACAACAAAGAATAGGTCTACCCTATTTTTCATGTTGGTCATCTGGTGTTTGAATATTATTTTCATGTCCTACTGATTAATATTTTTTTTCAATTCTAACATCCTTGAGCAAACAAGCCTATTTAATAAATATGAAAATGACAATAAAACAATTGTGAGAGATGTACATTTTTAGCCAATTCTAATGAATATTGTATATTAGGTTGAATAATATGAAAATGTTATATTTTTAAAATAATGTATGTACCTAATACAGTTTGAATCAAAAGAAAAGGAGAACTTGACAATTTGAAAACTTGACAAAATTACTCTGAAATCTGGAAAAATTAATAAATTCACATGCTCAGTAAATTTGGATGTCATGAATTAATCTACATTTAAGAAATTAACAGTACTGTCTAGTAGAGTCTAAGAATTAAGCCCTGTTACTAAAGAAATCCCTTCCCATTATGTTTAATCCTTTAGCACGTGTGTATAAAACTTTGAACAAATTATGATCCCACCCAAAAAATAGTATCACCAAAGCATTTCTGTGTTTTTACTAGAGACTTCACCAAAGGTTTTGTGAGATGTCTTGCTGAAATCAAAATTGCCTATTCCCTGTTGGGCGTCTCCTGATTTCCTGTCCTAATAACATTTCAAAATAAACAACCAAAATAACAAAAATCTAAGGGCAGTTTTATAGAACTTACAGATGTTCATTTTGAAGAGGTCTTAGAAGTAACTTAGTCTGCACTTCTTGTTTTACAAAGGATAAACTTAAATATAAATTAGAGTAATACAAGTATCTAACATTTACTAAGTATCTACTTTATATAGGACCTGCAAGTAATTTACCTATAGTATCTTATTTTCTTCTCCAACATGACTTTATTAAGAGCTATTATCCTGGGGCACCTGGGTGGCTCAGTCATTAAGCATCTGCCTTCGGCTCAGGTCATGGTCCCAGGGTCCTGGGATCGAGCCCCACATCGGGCTCCCTGCTCCACGGGAAGCCTGCTTCTCCCTCTCCCACTCCCCGTGCTTCTGTTCCCTCTCTTGCTGTGTCTCTCTCTGTCAAAAAAAATAAATAAAATCTTAAAAAAAGAGAGCTATTATCCCTATTATACCTAGATTATATCAATTTTTCACCCCAAGTTCATCATTGAGAATTTGATAACATTTTATTATATAGGGAACTTCATTGTATTAATGCTTGCACAATGAGATTGATAGGCATTTAACATTTTAAAGATGTTTTTCTATTGTAATTGATAATATTGTATGTATATTTCATATCTGTATATATTTTATCTGCTTCAGTTTTCACAAATTGAAATTTATATTTATTCACAAAAAATGAGTATTCCAAAAAAATTGTTCTTAAAGGCACATATAGGCTAAATTCTTGAAGACCATTATTTTCTTATTAAAGTATTTACCTTTTGAAATAATCATTTGACATGCTCTTTGCTATTAACTTCAGAATTTTAGGTATATATATATATATATATATACCTGATTTTAAAATAATATCTTTAACTAGTTTAAATATTTTAACTAGATATTATATTATTGGTTATTGAAGTACCAAAAAGATATAAAATGACTTCATATTTTTAAGGTAATATTAGAGAAGTATAACAATTTCTCTTGTATGACTGGTAAGTTAACAAAGGATAAAGGGGAACTTCATATAATAATTATTTATAAGCTGCTATAAGAAATTGTTATGGGTACTATTGCTCCACGCTTTTAAAGATACCAGTTTTGAAATGCCAGGTGGCTTTTACAAGAAACAGGGTTCTGTTGAGGCTTCCTGAATAAAAATGACAGGTGTACTTGGATGATATGTTTTAATCCATTTGTGTTGTTATGCACATCCATTTAGCAGATTTTTTTGTTTCTCATGGGTCTTATTTTCTTTATTCCAATATGTGAGAATATTTTATTAATAATGCTGGATTTTCACTTGTGAAGCTTTTTGTTTAAAACCAGTTTCTTTTTTTACAGAAACACCTGCTACATTTCCAGACACTGTAAAGGAAAAAGAAACACCAACCCCTGGTGAAGATATTCAGCTAGAAAGTTCCATTCCACATACAGATTCAGGAATTGGAGAGGAGCAAGTGGCTAGCATCCTGAATGGGGCAGAAATAGAGACAGGCACAGGCCCTGATGCCATGAGTGAACTGTTATCCACTTTGTCATCTGAAGTGAAGAAATCACAGGAAAGCTTAACTGAGAACCCCAGTGAACTGTTGAAACCCGCACCATCCATATCTAGCATTAGTCAAACCAAAGGCATCAATGTCAAGGAGATATTGAAAAGTCTTGTGGCTGCCCCAGTTGAAATTGCAGAATGTGGCCCTGAACCTATCCCATACCCAGATCCAGCATTGAAGAGAGAAGCGCAAGCTATTCTTCCTATGCAGTTTCATTCCTTTGACAGGTGGGTACTGAAATTATTATTCGTAGTGCTCCAAACACAGAAGGAAAATTAACAGTTTATTTTTAAAAATATTAGGAGGATCTTGAAAACCCTTATATTTAGTAATATAAATTCTTACTACAAAGAATATCAAAGTGATAGGTCAACCAGATTGATCTCATAGTAAGGCACTTGAATAATACATCTCAAAAAAGGAGTTTCAATATGGTACACAGGACAGTACGTTAAATTAGAAATATGGAAATCCAGATTCTGATTATAATCCATCATCAGTGACTACACTACATTGAGGAAGTGGTTTTATCTTTTTGGACTTAATTGTTTCATGGATAAAATGGGGAAGGGGTAAGTCATATCTTTCCAAGGTTCAGTCTGGCTCTGAAATTCCTATATCATAGTACTGGAAACCAGTAACTTCTGGAGACTAAATAAATAACTTGCTTTAAGTAATAAAATTCAAATTTGACTTTTAAATGCAATGGTGGAAAAAATTTGAAAATATGCATTATCATCTGAAAGTATGCATGGAATTTTCAGAATCAATGTAAAGGCCATATTTTGAGGCATGTATTTAAAAGTAAATATTGTTGAAAGGCATTTTAGGTTTCTAAACTATTTGTAACATGACCCATATATCTGCATTCAAATGTTAAATCATACAAGGGTTTTTAGTGAGAACAGCTAACTAATTTTTTTTTGTTCCACTATATATGCCATAAAAAGGATAGTTCACAGAAGCAGGATAAAACATTTTAGAACCAAAGAATTTGTTCATGTAATTTATCCTACTATTTAAAAACTTATGCAGCATTAGAAACATATTTTAGGATAGTCATAATTACTAACAATAGTACTTAACATTGATAGTGGGACTAATACTTACATAATAGCATATAAACTAAAGAATGTGTTTACCATCTGAATTAAATTGTTATTGATGTTGAAAACACTTCCCCCCACCCAAAATTTATGTGTGTGTGTGATGATTGGTAAACAATTGTTTTTTGTTTTAGAAAAGAACAAGTTAGGAAATCAAATATTTCTTAAACTGGAATGTCAAAAATAAGCATATAGTCAAAATGTAACAGCCCATTCCGTATTACTTTTCTAAAATAGCCATACTGCTTTGTGCAAATTAGAGACAGTAATTTCTTAGTGTTTAGGGGTAGAAATATAGCAGGAAAGGCATTTTTCAGTTAAGATAGATTATCTTTTTTATATATAAATATAAATTAAGCTTTACCTTTAAACATTTTAACTACTGTTCTACAGATACTTCTTGAAACTTTATTGTGAAAATATAAATAGCTTTGGTCATCGTGTCAGATATAAAGATGGATAAAAACAGTGTTCCCTATATTGAACTTACAGAGTAGTAAATGGAGATGAAATGTTTGCAAAAAAATGTCATTGCAAGATAAAATGTGTTAAGTATCAGAACTTTTAAAAACTAAAAAAAAAAAAAGGAGAGGCTATGAAATGTAGGAAAATATCTTTTTTTTTAATGGTTTGTGTTAAGATTATATTTGGATATTCATTCATATAGTTCCGTGAACGTTCCTTATGCCGTCTCAGATTGATGTCCTCTATTTCCCCTATTTGGTTTATGTTCCCTGGATGTATGTGGATGTGTCTTTATGAGTGTATGTAAACATATGTATGTAGGTATCTGTAATTGTATATATCTATAAAAATGTTATAATAATTCAATTTAGGGTCATAAAAATTTTGTGTTCCACTTACTTTTAAATTACGTATTTAAATTTTATTAAAATACAAACAAATAAATAGGATTGTGATTTGCATAAGGGAATCCAGTGAAATAAAAATAAAGTTCAATGGTTTGTTTTAATTTGGATTATTGTTAGAACAGGTTTTTCGTTAAAACTTAACAAAGCTATCACTAGATAGCCAATATTCTCAGCTACTCAAAATTTATTACACTTTTGTGAATATTGCTTTAAAAAAAAATAGAACTTTCCATTTGTTCCTGGTGGCATTTGTGCAAAGTGCAATAGGAGTGGAATCATTATTCTAAATTGCATAAGTAGAAATGAAATCAAGGCATGCAAAGCATATTTCAATTCTTTTTAGGAAAAGGGTCTGTAGTGTAGTTAATGTATGCAGTAGCTCAAGTACTATCAAATGTAAATGATGAGGTGATATTGATGAAAGGAGGGGATTGAGGTCTCAGGGGGCGCTGATGACGGATTGAACAGAAGCGGCCTTGCAGTGCACGTAACTCAAGTCTGTCGTCTTCACTGCTCAAAGCCATAATGGGAGGTGGCAGTCTGAAATGAGTTGCCACGGCAAAGAGTATTATTTTTGAAATGCTTTCACACAAATCACTAGGCCCTGCATACAACTTAGTTTCATGCTTTAATGTCATCAGGAGGCACAAATTGGTGTGTCTAATTGTTTGCCACCTGCCAGCAAAATGAGCTGCCAGCCAGCCAGACGGGTTTGATTGTCTGTCAGCCATTCAATAGATTGAGAGTGACAACATCAAAAATTTAACTTCAAACTCTAGAGCTTTGAGCAGCTTTTCAGAGACATCATCCCCACAAGTGCTTCTGGACAACTGCATTTTTCAATTATATTTCCAATATATTGCTACCATTTGCCTTATCTGTCTTAAGGTAGCTATAATTATATTATGAAGTATATAAACATATTTCTGAAGCACTAAAGTCTGAAATCCAAGTTATGACATGTCTTTTAACATCAGATTGAATTCCTTGAAAATAGGATCCAAGATGACATGCCTTAGAAGCAAAGTCCTGACAACTACCAGTTTTAAACACAGAATTATCATGGGTCTTACTCTACCAATAATATATTTTTCATTTTTATCTTTAGTTGAAAAATAGCTATAGTCTCAGTTGTTCATTTCTTTGTAACTAAATCATGCTTCCTAATAATATTGTGCAACCCCAATGGAGATCACCTATAGGATTTTACTTTTGTTAGCCAATAGTTTATTGGTTTTATTGTAAACATGCTAACAATGCATTCTTTATACTCTTTTTATACTGTAAATTTGAAAATACCTTCCTAAAACACTGATGTAATTTGAGTTATGTTAACTTATATTCCACATAGGGTGTTTCTCCCCACTTGGGATGGAGCATTTATGAATTTCAGTTGTGAAATTTTTCTTTTAGGTAGATTACAACATCAAATTTTAGAAACATCTAGACTTACCTAAAATAAAACTTTTTCTTTCAGTATTATTTTATCACATTGTATTGTGAACTATTATATAAATATTCTTATTTACATATCTGGAAAGTACTGATTTTTTTTTTCATTTCTTCCAGTTATCATCTGTGTAGATTTACGTATATGTCTGATTGCACTGAGTGGCCCTAACAAATACATATTTATGAATTGTAAAGCACTGAAAATGCTAGAGATTCTCTAGTACTGTTCTACAGTGAGGAAATACTATGTATACAGAGGAAATAAAGTTATGAAATGATAACATTATCATGGTTTTATTTCTCACAGAAGTGCTTAATAATCTCATCATAGAACACAAACCAAATTGCAAAATTCCCCAACAATACAATCTCTTTTGATAGATTTAAATATAGATATATAATTTATAAAGTATTCTGGCTGAGCTAAATTATTTATACATTAGTACCTGTGTAACTTTTAGGTTGGGGTAGTGCTTTTCTCTAAAACCACCAATTAAGCTTTATCCCATCTTTTATGTAAATATTGTAATGTTGTATATCCACATGATTTTAATCTTTGGAGAATTTGGTATGTATATATATGTGATTTAGGTCAGTCTTAATTCCCCAGGGATTTCTAAGATAACCCTTCCCCCCTTAGTTTGGACAAAAGACAGAAAAAAAAAAAAGAGGACAATATGCTTCTTCGTTTTAACTGTTACTATGTTTTAGAGAATTATTTTATGTCTGGGATATCACAAAAAGCTCACAATTGTGTTTTTTCTCTGGCTAACAGACATTGATCTTACATGATTTATATTTCATCCCTTTTGATTTTACAATCCACTTATGTTTGAATTACTGGGTTTGATAAGTTCAGGCAGACTGGTCTGTATATTTTTCCCCTCAAACTTTTAATTTCTTCACTTTCAAGTGTTTTATTCTTTGAATAAGAAAGGCTCTAAAATAAAAGTTATAAATATTATAGGACTAAAAAGGCAATATAGATAGCCTTCATATTATTAAACCTAAAATATAAGGTTCGGCTAGCTATTTTTTCTCTAGCTTTTTAATATTAACATTTTTAACATTAGTGCTAAGGATGACAATTTAGGGAAAATAATAAAAAAATGTTTGATAGAATGATGGAATCTTCCTACATTGATTTAAGATTATAAAAAATTATAATTACTGCTGATGATTTCAATTTCTATTCCTTTACTTTTCTAGTTTTTGTGAAGTGTTTTGCTTGTATCACTTAAAAGATGAACAAGTAATTATAAGCCAAATTGATTAAAAGTGCCAACCTTTACATTTCAAAGTTTCTATGATGTCTAGCCACTGAAATTCCAACCTTTATTATGCTCCAAGTGTCCTGGGTATAGTATTTTGAGGCCAGTTGCCAGACGATGCAGTTTTGACTGAGCATGGTGGTCTGATGTCCCCAATGTTGTTGCCTTTGTCTTTCCTGGCATTTACACAGACGAGTCGTGAGCTGAAAAATTATCTCTCTTTAGAGTGGATTAATGAAATACTCAGTTATTTCTTACACATATTTTTTCATTGGTATTCTAAATATTTTACGAAATAGAGACATACAAAACATGAAAATGTCACAGCAGTAACGTTGTGATTTCTGATGAGCTGTAATAAGTTTTAGTATCACCCTAAAATCAGTAACATTGTTTTTTTCCTAAGCTTCAATTTTTTCTTTCAAGATAAATGTTTAGCATTTATATAAGTCTTGTTAGGGAAGAGTGTTAATCTGGAAATTTAGGAGAATTGGGCGTTGATAATAGATCTCTTTGTAATTAGTTG